GTCAAAATTTTAGTGTTTGTGGTGTGTAAGACTCTGATATAAATATCACCTCTTAGGTGTATCTGTGCCATAAGGCACCAATGTTTTCCTCTTATGTTTATGGTGGGATTTCTCTAATCTAATTGTAGATGTCTGCGATATGGAAGTTTGTGTCTAAGCATGTCACCTTAGGTAACATTTCTGGTTAATGGAGAGGAGTGGGTAATCCTGGGGAATTATTCATCTTACCTGTTTTAGACACTTCCTTTGTGGTGAGAAGAATGACACGTTCGAAGTGCCTGTTTCTCTCCTCTATGTCCTGTTAATGAGAGGGCTGAGGCCACCCACTGTCATCAGCTACACCCAAGACCAGTGTTTCCAGAAGATCAGTACTGTAGCAGCAGTCAGCTGTCACCGAGGCCCACAGAGAAAGGCAGGACAGCTCTTGGCTGACCTTTCAGTCACCCTCATTGATATTAAACATGAAGAGGACACAAAACACTGAGGCTGACTGAACCAGTGCATTGCAGCTGGCAGTGGAGTTTGAACTCCCCAAAGCAAAAGAATAACTAATTTTGGTTTTTGGTTTTTCAGTACCTTTTCAGTCACCGATAAAACTCTCAACTTCAAAGAACATAGTGTCCCAATATTTGGGACATTGTTACATCTCCATCTCCTCTTTGGCCCTGATGGTGTTGATGTTCTCAGATGATATCTCTGGACTAGATTCACTCTAGAGGTGCAAACAAGCCCACATTTCTAGCGAGCAAGTGTTCTCCTTGTCTTGCAATTTGGCCACAGGAAGTATTTTTCATCATAGATTGTAGTGTAGAACTGCAATCCAGCCAATCCCTCTGGTGCCTTTGTTATCAGGAAAAAATGGTCTATCAAAGCCCATTTAGTGGAAACTTCAGCCAGACACTTATGAGTGCTGATTCTCTGTTATTTTCTGTGTGTGGTTCCTAAGTTTCTAAAGGTCTTGACATACATTCTCTACCAATAAGAAAAAAATCCCTCCTCATGAGATTTAAGTATGTTGCTTTTATCTTTAATGGAGCCATGTTTGAGTATCTGTCATCACGTTCACTAAATCATCTGTCAATGAAATCCACAGTTTTAGTAGCCATTACCTCAGCTCAGGGGTAAATGAAGTTCTAGCTTTTATGTCTAATCCTCCATATTATTTTCAGGTGGATAGGGTAACACGGAGGCCACATCTCAAGTTTATTCTAAAGGTGGTTTCAGGTTACTTATTAATCAGTGTATCCACTTACCAATATTTTTTTCCCATGACCCAGTTCACCAGTGGAAGGATCAAAATGTTGATCCTTTGTGAGTGTACTGCCATATCTAGACAAAGCTCTTCTGCAAACCTGTGATGTTCTTTGGCCTCAAACAGCCTTTGTTGTTCAGGATCAAATCTGAGATGTAGCATCAACTTCAAACTCATTCAAAATGAGTTAACAGACTTTATCAGAGCCACATTTGATGCTACCAGATTAGATCCACCAACCCATCCCAAGGCATATACTACTAGACCATAAGGTACTGCCACAGCATGTGCTGGTAGAGTTCCAGTAGCCGAGGGGTGTAGAGACACCGTGCAGTCATTGATACTCACATTTAGGAAGCTCTACATCTGCTGGTAGCCCAAAGGTTTGAAGGATACCAGTTCTTCAGTCTTTGTTCCAATGAACAGCTTGCATTTGCTGGTGCAACTGCACTCCTAATGAAACACCCAAAAAGAGTTTCACAGGTGCCAGAACTCGATGAAAGAAGAGAGGTTGCCTCCATCAAAGTTCTTTGATATGTTCTTTGCCTGTAGCTCCCACAACTGGTCATTCTGTTCTGGGGAAGGAAGGCTTGTTACATGGACTGAGAGCCATTGAAGAACTGGGTGATGATCTGTTTACAGATGCTTGTGGGATGACAAGCAGAGGTGAGCAGGTGATGCACACACCTTGCTGGAACACATAACAACTTTAGAAACATTTAAATTTTTATGCAGAAGAGACATATCCATTTATAATGGGTCTTACCTGCATAAAGCATCCTGAAATATCATAGCTTTACAAAGTTAGTGACCCTCTGTATTATTCCTTGTGTTCCTCCACTTTGTGTGAAACACCGTGCTATATCTTTGCCAGGTATTCTCATTGTTATTATTATAAACAGCAAAGAACACATGGTTGCTAACACTATTACTATGATTTTTTTTCATAGGAATTAGACCTCATTAGAAATCAGAAGCAGGATTTGTTCTGTGTGCTGCTAAATTTTCTTTATTAAACCCAGTAATATATAGCAAGCTTACATGCCAACCCACAGAAATCCTTCAGAGTTGTTATTTTAAACCCGTATCAATGAACAGTTTATTCTGAAGCTTTTAAAATGTGTATGTATATGCATTATATACATATATACTATATATGCACATATACATACATTATATATACGTACTTCATATATATATATATATCTATCTGTAGTGACAAAACAAGTAGTTTAATATGTTTTATGGGTCCAGCCTGGTGTTCTGCATACATGAACTTGTGTGTGGTCAAGGAGGCTTGCATACTTTTGAACTCTAAGCTGGCCTAATAAAAGATATCATACTACAGTGCTTGCTTTGTCAATACTGTTTTGCTGGTTCAAAAGATTAATTTACAATTTTTAACATAAACCCCAAGAAAAATAAGTGTTTACTTACTGCAAGACGTTGATTCCATGTTAATAACCCTGAAGGAGACTTGTACACAAGGTGCAGATTGTTTGATGTATATTCATGTTAGAGAATACGAAAATATGAAGTTATACCATCTTGAGGATTTTGTTTTTATAAGTAGGACTGGTTAAAAAAACCTTTAAGTAATCATACTGTGTATTTGATGGTGGAAATTAGTATGAATGTTTCTGGCACTGGAATGATGTGATGTGGTTATGCATTTCTGTTTTTACTGACTGCTCAAAATTGGCCTTTTACAAATACAGATTACCATGCTGATGGAAGGAATTTACAGCTTTGGCCCTGTTGTCTCAGTCTGTGTTACAGCATCTTTTTTTTGTACTTTATGTTACATATCCTCCCAACCGTATTTTTCTGACAGAAAAAGGAAATATCTGTGGACTGAGATCCTGAAAACATGTGAGCTTTATTATTTAATTGAATGAAATGAGTATTATTTCCTGTTTACCTTGATTTCCTTTGGGATGAAATCTTGCTCCTTTGAAATCAGCAGCAAACTTTCTGCTGAGTATGATAGGATGGAGAGTCCATGAGTGATCCCTTATGAGCTAGTGACATTGCATACTGGAAGCTCAGAAAAAATCACCTCCTTAATAATAATGATAGAAAGAATACTGTTAAAGAAAATGAGGATTTAGGACTGTCAGATAAAATCCAAGCTGAATACAAAAACTGTATGTATGTTGTGTTTAATATTGTTAGTTTTGGGGCCTCACAGCCCAGATAGGGCTGCAAGATCCGTTTGTGTTATGCAGGCTGTTACACTACATCCCTTACTTACCTCATCTTGTGGGCAAGGAGCTGCTTGCTCTGACTTCAAGGAAGTGCAGCTGTATTTGTGGAGTGCTCTTGCCCTTTGGCACTCCCTCCCCTGTATATTAATACAGTTTGAATGCACCAACATTTTCTCTGGAAACAAACTTCAAAATTTGTCTTTAATTCTGATGCAAAGCATATTTAGAATTTTTTATTTTCCTGGAGTTTAGTTCCAGAGGAAAACATACTTGACTGGTGCTCCCACCACCCAGCTGTGGTTTATAACAACAATAATTAACAGTAAGATACTGCAGCAGAAATGGGGAGCAGAGAAATGCAGTTCATCAGCTTCAGTGATGTGGTTCTGTTCACTTCTAAGGATTCCAAAGTGCTCAGCAAACAATATTACAGGCAGTATGGGCAGCTCTGGCCATGATGAAGGTCTCCTAGTACTTCCTGTTATAATATTTTGCTTTAGTTTTTTTTTCCAGGGCTTTGCCAATGTTAATGTATTTTGGCTAAAATTATTTTTATCTGATGTCGGTCTCTAGGTTTTTGAATCTTTGAATTGAAAAGTGATTGAACTATTTATAAGAAGAAGGCTAGATATTCTGCTTACATAAAAAAATAGTCTGACCTCTGTTTTTTTTGAGCAAAGACAAACATTTCTCTGCCTTTGGATCAGGTATGTGCCTTTTGCCATCCTCACAAAGCCTTTCGAGTTTGGTCAACTGTTTCAAGACATGGAAAAAACCACAGTTACCAAATATTCCATAGGGATTTACTAAAGCCTAACAGCAAATATTTCCAGAGATTTCATCTTCTCCGCCTTGCACAGCTCCTTCCCGTGATCAGACTTTCCATACACTGTCCTCACAGAATGACTGAGCAGTCACCAACTGGGTGCACCAGAGGCCAAAACAGAGGCAACCCCTGTAGTATTGCCCCTGGGTATTACTTTGAGCTACAGTGATGCTATGTGGTGGCACCAGGAGTAGGGAGCCTCTCACTAAGATGCTAGAATGCATCTTAGGGCTCCCAAATTTTAGTTTGTGTGCTGTTGGCAAGCCTCCAGCATTGTTCCTCTTTGCCACTAGCCTGAATGCACATAGAGAGTTGGACAACCTCAACAAGGCCCTGTGCAACCACATCTAATGGTGAAATTAGTCCTACATGATCTCCTGAGGTCCTTCCCAACCTGAGTAAGTCCATGGTTCTGTTCTTTGCTGTCCATTTCCCTGTTAGTGTGTGTAGGCCTGAAGGCACCATCCCAGTTGATGGGTTTCTGTAGGTATGATGCACAAAATGAAAGTAGTCTGTATTAGTTTATTTTTAAAAACAAGTGTATTCACAACACCTCGTTAAGATATATTCAAGATGCATAGACAAGTATACTAAAATTAAGATTAGCAGAATGATCCCTGCAGCCTCAGTATTCTTCCAACACATATTTGCATTGGAACACTGACTTTAGTTTTGAAACTGCACTCTCTTTCTGTTTTCTCTCATCCATATATCTAACACGGATCTGTTCTGGAGATAAAGCAGCACTGAGGAGGATTGGTGGATGCTAACTACAGTTGTTGAGAAGATGCAAGGTATTTTCTGAATGAAGCAGGGCATGGTAGAAAAAAAACAAGAGCTCCAGGTTTGGATAGTTGAAGTCTGCTCTGGAGAGCTGGACAGTATCCTTGCCTCTTCATTGAAATGTTCAGGCAGTATATGAGATTGTTTTTCAAACCTCAGCAGGCTTAATTAGATTCTGCAGTTCATTCATTTGCAGTGAAGTCAATTTGAGTTTTACATGTGGAAAATCTGTGAGATCAAAAATTATACCCAATGGACACATAGCACTATAGAAGAAAACGTCAGTTCTGGATGGTAGTATTTCTGACTTCTGTTAGACTCTCTCTCCCCACACACTTTTTCACTTTCTCAATTAGTTTTTCTTCCATTTTTATGTCAGTGGTTTTGAAAGGGTTCTTGGAAAAAAAAACTTTCTGCATATACTGTACATGTTTTCATTTACAGATCAGTGAAATGGATAGGCAGATAAATAAATAGATAGGGTTTTCTGAGCTTGTGAAATATGTCACATCATATAAAACACTCTTCTAAATCTGTTTTGTCAAATGTATCAAATGATATTTTTGAAATTATATTTCTGGAATATGTTTTCAGCATTTCTTATTGCTGTTCTTGATATATACACCCATGTTTGACAGTCCCTTAATCTGCCTGACATAAACTGAATGAATAGCAGCATTTAAAAATATGGCTTCAGGGACTCCTTAGGAGGTTTCTTTGTAAGTGTACATTTACTAGTTCATCTGTAAATTTATTTTATGAGGTGTTTAAACCTCAAGAAAACTGAAAAGCATAATATTAAAGCCTGGTTTACATCTACTGAAGTCAACGGGAACTTTGCAATTGACTTTAATGGTAGCCTATGTCCTCTAATTATGAAAGTGGCAAGGATGATATACACAAAACCACAAGGAGAATTTTCTGTTTCATCATATCCTATTCTCTTTGCAGATGCATAAGAAAAGTACAATGTGGTTTGTTGTTGAATTAAACAATTCGGTGTCTGGACCTAATCCTGAACTCCATTGATACTTTAGGTTGTGTTTTCCTTCTCAAAAGATCACAGCCTGCTCATTCTTTCCATGGCTCATGAAGGTGACAAGGTAGGAAATCCAGCCAAATTTTCAAAAGGCTTTCAAAATTTATGCTTTTGGTTTTGGTCTTACATCTGCCCCATGGTATGAGTAATGGAAGAAGTTGATGAAGCAGTTTTCTTCCTAATTGTCTTGTTTTTTTGATGTCATCAATTTTGACAGCGTTCCTGGAAATGCGTGTAATATCTATAGCACATATGTACATGTTTTCCCTTAGGTTTGCTGAAGTGTAGTAGAAAGTTTCCATCATGCTATTGTAATCCCAGGCATCATTTTTGTATTGTGTTAGTGAAAGTGAGTGACAGTACACCACCACAACAAAAAAAGACTCCCAGAATTCAGCTTTTTTTTTCCTGTTAGTGTAACAAGCATGGCATTTTGAACAGGCTAGATCTGGAAACTAATTTGAAGTAGTAAATAATGCTAGACAAAAATTCCCACAAGTTTCTCGTTGAGTCTGCTTCAGATATTACTCATTTGGTGGCTGAAATACCGGTCTTGCTTCACACTTCTGATGCTTGTGAAAGATTTAAATATTTTGTTGGTAACTGGAGTTGATAGAGCTGCAGACAAGAGTTTGCCACAAGTTTTTGGTTGAGGCCATGCTCAGTTAGAAAATGCCACTTGTGTGGGGGTGGAAATGCTGTCCCTGAGGTGCATCAGCTTCACTGAAGCCTCAGAGGGAGCAGAGGCACTGCTGCCCTGCCCTCACTGCTCCCACCAGTCAGCCCTTGGGATTCTGCTGGGCTGATAAGATTGCTGGTGTGCTAATAAATAATGAAATGGATAAAGTCACCTCTTAAGATGGACAAAAGCTAGACCACCGAAGTTAGAAGTGAGTAAACTCTATTCCCTCCCGCCCCCAAGTCTCACCTACCCCAGCATAGCCAGCTCCCACCTTGTCCCTGCAGTGGGATAGCAGCTCTCTGGCTTCCTGGTGGAGGGTCAGACCTTTCTGATCTGCCACCCCAGGCCTACTGAGTCATCAGGCTGCTACCCCTTCAGGTTATCCTTCCCCCAGGCTTCATGGGAGACTGCTTTTTTTGAAGTGTCCCAGTGTTAGGGCAGCCAGGAATCCAGCAGCCCTGGGGTTTGTGCTGTCCAGTGATGCAATTGCTTTGGGAGTGGCCTGGAAATATTGTATACTGCCTTTCTCAAAAAAACCCCGTGTGTCATAAATTCTTCCTCAGAAAAAAAGAAGTGATTATTAGTAGTTATTGCTGGCCTAAGACAAAATTTGTTTGTGTCAAAAATACTTTGGAGGAGTTAGTAAAAGAGAACCTGTAGAAATCATTCCAGATGACTGCTGTAAGCCCTTAGTTCATCTTTATAGTCTAGACATGGACAGAGATCTCTGTAGCATAATGAGAGAAATAAATACCTACTGGAAATTATGTGTCTATGTGAGACTTAGACTTGCTAGATGTAGGTTGGGGAAGGTGTGCAGAAGTAGGGACCTATTTCTCAAGGTACCTATAAACATGGTAGATGAAATACTTCTTCACCAAATGACTTCTCAGTCAATCCTGGTTTAGAGTTAGTTTTGAGGACCACCATGACTTCTGTGGAAGAATAAAAATAAAAGAAACTTCAAAACAAGTACTCACAAGTTGAAATGTGGAGGAGGTGTGGGGTTTTACTTTCACGTGTGAAAACTACCTAGAACTTATATCCTAAACAAAAGAAAAAAGACATTTGGGAAAAGCACCACATCTAATTTGATGGGTAATCATCACAGAAAAGATGTTGGTAGATAACTCGAGGACAGAGGAAAAAGACGGATCAGAAAAAAAATTGTGTCTTGGAAGGCAGGATATACAGGAACAAAGTAAAAACAAATGAAAGGAGCTTGAGAAAAATAGCAAAAGTTTCTTAATCTAGGAAAAATTTGGGAAAGAGAAAGACTCTTGTGCTGTGAAGAGGAACTGTAATTTATGTTGGATAAACTAATTATGATCTAGCAACAGAGTAAAGTCTGGAGGCTTATAGTGGGTATGGAAATGGCAGATAAACAGCCAAAGGTGGACAAAGCTTAGGAAAACTCACGGGCTCAATTCAGAGGAGTAGGATAACTGTAGTTCCAAAGTTCAGACAAAACAGGTATATGAAACCATATGTGTGACTATCTCGTAAATAATAAAGGGATCATTTGACAAGAACACGGTTTCTCTGTGTAAGAAGGGAGGAAAGACCCGCGTGAACAAGAGCAGCAGGCCTATTAGTCTGACTTCAGGGGTGCAAAGCTTTAAAAGAGATCTTGAAGGAAAGCAATTTCTACATAGTAAATGGGAATGGGGCAGGGGGAAAATTAATTAAAAAAAATCTCCCTCCTGGTACATGGTATGCAAATCTGGTACTTTGATTAGCTGGAAAAGTGACAACTTGTAGAAGCTAACTTTTCTGGATCTCAGTGAAGAATTTGCTGCCATACAGCAACATATTTGATATATCCCCAGAAAATATATTTCTCTGAGAAGAAGGAAACAAATTTGGAAGTAAGGGAAATGTAAGGAGAAAAGAAGTGAAGCAGCAGTTCTTTAATCAAGTTTACTTGCTAGTTTGAGTCAGGTAATTATGCTTTTTTTCCCCATGGAAATTATGTCCAGTGCAGTCTATGGTGTTTAGCAGTCCTGTGCAGATGCAGAAGGCACTTAGAGTGTGGATTCTCTCTTGCTTTGCTCTTACCACAGTTTAAAATATATGACATTTTGACTGAAAGTATATGTCTTCAGATGGAGAACCGTAAGTGTCCTTCTGGTGTTCAGGGTAGGACTGGGGAAAGGGACAAAGGGAAACAGTGTGGAAAGCTAAAAAAAGACAATGCAAAAAAAGACAGTGCAAAAAATATGCAACACTCAGGAACCTTCTTACTTACCACCACTGTTGTGGTTCTGTATCTGTATCAGTTTTGGCAGCCAAACTCCCATATAGCCCTAACAATTCCCAAGAGGAAGGAAATAGCAGTGTACACCTCCTCTGCTGCCCTGTGGTCTGGACAGAGAGACTCTCTGCTCGGGAAAGAACACAGTGAGCTTTCAACAAGGGTGTTGAGGGTAGCGTGTACTCATGTCTGCGATCAGATCTGTCCCACAAACAGAAGTGCAGGCTGATGGGTTGGTTCAGGTTTCCAGGAACTCTGATTCCCTACACAGCATTTCACTTCCGAGCGTTGCTCCCTTGCACACTGAAGACTCCCAGCACTCACCAGCCTTTAGTACTCTGAAAAAATGGACACACTTCCCAGTTGTAAATCGAAGTCTTCCAGACCTCTTCAGGCCAATGTAGAGTAAGTGACATTCCCCAAACTTATGTAAGTTACCTGGTATTCATCCTTGTGGGACAAATCCTTGGTCACTGAGAAGTGGTGACATGGTGTCTGTGCAGCCCAAAAAAGTTACTGCACCCTAGGGATAAGCAGTTCCCTCTGACTTGACTGCAAAGGACTATGGTTGGAAGGAAATGAATTTCTCTGTTTGCCTCTGAGAGCGACAAACAAAAAGGTACATGCTGATAAAGTCCCTTACAAATGCAGAAGTCATGTCTCTATTTGTCATGTAAGACAAATAGAGAAGACATGAGATAAAGAGAGGAAGGTAAGGACCTATTTTTTGATGTGAAGAAAGTACTCTTAGAAGTACAGAATCAACCAAAGTAGGAGGAAACTGGTTACAGGAGGAAAAAAAGCTACACGTACAAAACTATTGAGAAGATTAAGCCATGGTATCATTTATGGTTATTTCTTCTTCTGTGTGCATCAGTTTAAACTAACGTTTAACTTTGATGTTAGGAGTCACTTCTACTGGCTGTCCCTGAGGAGATAGCTGAAGCCAGAATGCCCTTGAGGAAGAGCTTCTTGGTCATAGTGTGGTTTAGCAGCTAAGGGAGTCTGGATGAGCTGTGACTCGTCAAGCTCATCATATGCTGCTTGGTGGGGGAAGGGATGGGAGGACTTCTATGGGAAATTATGCTGGAAACACATTACCAGAAGTGATGAGAGCACTTAGAAACATTGCAGCTGCAGTGCTGTGGTCCAAAGCAGTTTCCTAATAGCTGCTGGATAAGAACTGGAATGGGTCTATGGCAATCACACACATCTCATGATTAAGAGAGCAAGGCTTAAAACATTGAAGTTAAGAACATCTCAGGTGAAAGAAAAAGAATGGGGCATGAAAAGCATTCCCAGCTCCAGGTTTATTCCATGCAATGTGAGTTCAACAAGTAGAGTGAGAGAACACAAAAATGTGGCAAAATTCAGAGTTCTCATCCTTGTGCAGAGGTTTATTTGAATCCCAGGCTGTTTCTATCCCATGCATGCATTTTCTTCACCATGTGTAGCATTAAAAACTGGAATGACTGCTTAAGGGTGAGCAAAAACCTGAGATCAAAACTCAAGCTGACCTCTAATGTTACAAGAAAAGCAGTGCTAATGCTTTGGGATTAGAAGTGTCTTTTTGCTGGATTCTAGCACAGAACTGAGACAGTCATAGTCAATTGTTGGTAATGATGTGCTCAAGAAGACAGTCCTTGAGCTAAGTGGAAGCAGCTAGAAAATGTTTCTGTAAAGTTCCTCAGGGTTCACCACAAAAAAGTAGGAATATATTTCCATAAGCATTTTTTCTGCAATATACTCTTTGCTTTTCTGCTAGCTCAAACCTTGGGATGTCGAGGCTAGCAGAGATTTGGGGGTTAGATCAGTCTTTCTGCTTCCATGCTGCTGCTGTTCACAGCAATGTGCTTGCCTTGGACTACTAGGAAGGCATTGGGATGCAGCTGCGCTCTTCATGAAGTCATTGCTTTGTTAAGAAGGTTAAGGAGGATAAACCACAGTTATGATGTTTCCAGGTTTTGATAGTCACGGTTATATGTGTGACAAACATGGACACTATAAACAGAAGTACCTACAACCACAGGTAGGACTGAAACTCTCATCAGCTTTGCAATAAATATGTTTAAGAAAACTCTCTAGATCTATACCGTCTTTTAAAAGTCTCATGTGTCTTATATTGAGTTAAGTGAGTTTACAGAGTTTACAGAAAGAAACCCCCTTTTCATGTGTTTGCATTTACCAAAATAAAAACAATTTTTGGAAATCAATCTTTTAACCATCAAAATAATGCAATGTTATCTTCTTTTCACAGATGGGACAACTGAAGGAACACATTTGTGAAGTTACCTGCTCAAAGCCATAACAGACGCCAGTGATAAATCCAGGAACAGAAGCTAAGTCTCCCAAGTTGCGGCCTAACACCATCAACAAGCCAATGTAATCAACAAGAAAGTTTGTCTTTTGATGTTATTGCAATACCTATATATTATATATAGGTTATACCATAGCAATACCTATATATTAATAATTTACCCAAGACGAACACATTTGAGTATGTATATTTGCCTATGTTCTTGTAAATAATTCAAAAGGTTTCTTTGAATTCTAATTCTGAATTTAATATCTAATATATATATATGTATAAGATAACTGGGCAGTTTTTCCACAACAATTTATTCATAAGTCATGTTTAAAACATACAGTTTAGAGTCCAACTTTAGGGTCTTCAGGGTTTGGAGCATCTTACACTTCAGCTTGCCTTTATAGAAGACAGTAGATGGTTTGCAGCTCAGGAAAAGGAAATAAAGTTGTATATTGTTCTTAGCATTGGAAATCACTTTTAGAAATATTTCTGTGTGTTGGAAGCACCAAAAGCTCGTGTCTGACTGTGGTTTAGCTGTAGGGGAGGCTATGGCAATGGACTCAGGCAGCAGAGGAGCTATGATTATGGAAGCCCATTAGAGAGCCTAATGCTGCCTGGTGTATTGAGCAGTGTCGGACAGTTTTGGCAAAGGTACAACTTGCTTTCTGTCTCTTGTGGCTGTGTCCTCCTATACTGAGTCAGAAACATGTGCACAATACTTCTTTGTGAGATGCTGATCTTTCGGGATGTTAAGCACCAATAGTTGCATTAGCAGCTGGTTTTACTTGCAGTCGAGGCTTTGAAGCAGCACAGCAGCTTTTTGCATAGGATAGGGAGTGTTTCCTTCTAGCTTTCACTTCAATCTGACATTTTAGTGCTGTGGCTTCCCAAAATAGGGCTAGTGTCCAACACTGAAACACCATGGAAGCATTGTCTTAGTAGTAAGTAGCTTTGTGGTTTATTAAGAGCAAATATTAAATCAGATTGGAAAAATATATTACTTCTACAACATACTCCTTATAGGACCTTTACAGTTTTCACATCTTTATTTTCAATAGTTGGCCTGGACACAGGTGATGAGCATGCTCAGACAATGTGTCAGGTTAACTGCAATCAAACCCATAAAGTGTCTGCAATTCATCCATGCTTCTCCCACCAGCAGGTGTCATTCTGGAAAAAGGAAAATATTGTAAATTCCTGAACTGGAGAATTTGGCTGTGACAAAGAAGAAAAAAAGTTTACTTAAAATATGGCTTTTGAAGGATACTTTATTCCAAATTAAAACCCAAAGAAAGCTGGCTTGTCTGCATTTTTTAATAATCTATGTGCAGTGAGTTATCCTGACCTATAAGTAACAAAGGGCAGACAACTGGTAAGGCAAACCAATGTCTGCTTAAAGCTATCTTCTGCTTTTTATTGTTCTCTGTGACATGTTAAACACTGCTTACTTACCCCCCAAGACTATAAAATCAGTGATATTCATCAATCTTCCCAAAGGAAAAAAAGAATTAGATGTTGAATTCAGATCTCATTTACTTCAATGTAAACTTGAAGTAATCTCATTGAAGCAACTGAAATCAGTAGAAATGTTTGGAATTTAGTCTGAAGTAACCAAAAGAAAGTAGTATTTAACTTTCTACTCCATAAATGAGCCTCAAGCAGAAAATAATCTCATAGTAATTTTTATGTCTCTTATAACATTTATACTTTCCTTTAAGTGTTCATCTGGGTATTAGCTGTAACCTCCTTTAATATGTAGAGAGTCTTTGATTTCCCTTATCACAGTGAGAGAGCTATGGCTGAGTTGTAAAGAACCAAGACCCTGCTGGTTCGTTGTGAGGGTTCCTGATATACGAAGTCTAGTCTTCTGGCTGTTAAAAACAAACTTACTGTGAAATTCATGCAGGAGGTGCCTTGCCCACCCTATAGGCTACTAGAAGTTTGTTCCAACCCATCATAGCTCTGATGATTATAAATATTTTTCTGTCTTTCTGTCTTTTAAATTTATCCAGACCCCTTGTATCTATATTGTCCTTTTGCATTAGTTTTTTCTCCTACCATTTACATCAGCATGTAGCTGAGAGGTTTGGGCCCAAACACCCTAGACTGAACAAATACAGTTTGCATAGTTTTCTTCCAGGAGCTCATTTTCCATCCCCTGGCATTACTTTAAGTTAAATTTATCTACTTTAAACAGGCAAGCAGAAATGTGCATCCTTTGTTGTTGCCTTGTATACAACATTAATGCAACAGCTTCCACACCCTACTAGAAATACTTCACCTGGTAGGTCTTAGCCCTGTATCTGATTTCTTTCTGGTAGATTCATCACCATCATCTTCCATTTGACTAGTTCAGCCAGGCTTATCTTCTCCTTAGCCATTTCTAGAACTATAGAGGATAGTTTGCTACTATGATGTGATGCTCCACCAAAACTCTTCTTGGAATTAAAGGGAAATTTGCTTGAGGAAAAATATAAGAACAGGCTCCAAGGCTTGGCTGCAAGGAGCACATTGAAGTGGGAATCAATTTTACATTTATAAAATTTGTATTTGCAACAAAGTAATGTAAAATAGTACATAAACTTAGAATTAAAAACTTCACTCTAAAATAGCTAAAAGCTGTATTCTTAGATTTACATGAAGCCTGTATTACTGTTTTCTGACTTTTTGAGTTTTTAACTTTGAAATGTAGTGGTATTCTAAAATTTCAAGTCAGAAAGTATAAAAGTATTGTGAATGTGACTAGTTTATTACGAACTTTATAGGATCAAGATAACAAGCAGTGATGATCTCCAGCAGGTTTTTTACAGTAAAGGATGAGATTTATACAACAATTTCTATATAGTTTTTACTAATTTTTTCCATGTTTTTAGCTAAGTGAAATAATATAAAATTCTGTTTAGTCTCTTTTGGTTTTTAATTTTAGTGTTAATGTGCCTCTACAAATGCTTAGCAAAATTAAAGATACTACATCTGTGAAGGTAATTCCATCTAAGGTGTTTGATTTCAGTTTAACAGGACATAGAGGCAGGAAAGTAATTTCATATCTAACAAGTGCAGAGTTACTATGCTCAACAGGATGCTGTCAAGAGTCTGTTTTGAATTACGGTGGCTGAGCTGAATCTGTGTGTGAATTGGGAGTTGCTATTGTTGAGACTATGCACCACGAAAGGTCCTGGGGCTTCTCATCAGGACCATAGGGGTTTGATATTCAAAACTGCTGGGAGTCTGGCAAAAGGAAGCTTGATTCTTCAGTTTGGGGCATGATGCAGGAAACTAATCGTGCTGAAGAAAGCAGTGATTTCAGGTACCAGGGCACTTGGATAGAAGGAATAAAAGAAATACTTGGCATTAAAAAGAAATAATTGCATTGATTACACACACAATTAGAAACTTATGTTAATCAGGTCCAATTTATAATGGTCAGAGGGAAGTTAAAAACCTTGAATATATTAGTTAGTGTAGTTATATACGAATTGTACAACATGGAGTTGAGCATTTCTAAATTGTTATTTTATAACAAGAGCAATTCATTGTATATAATATATACAAATTACATATTATATATGTATGAAACATATAACTCATCTTAAAATAAAATTAAAGCTATTGGAAGGTAGCAAATTCTGCATAAAATTCACCACAGGCATTAATTAGGATTGTATAGACAGAGAACACTTTCCCATGGGCTTTTTAAAATCACTTACTAGCATCATGATTGAAAGGAATTTGGATTATTTTTACAGAAGTTAAAAAAATGAAATGGTTACAGAAAAGGTCATGATGGATGGTGACTTAGAAAGCAATCGTAAAATCTAATTTAGTAATGTACAGTATTAATTGTATGATTTGCGAGTGAAGTAGAACTGTTTTCATGTTTTTTTTTTTTTTTTTTAAGTGTTTATCAATCTTTTTCAGGATGAACCCCCAAAGCATGGCTGTAATGGTTGTTTGAAACAAAAATAGACACTCTCTTGCTGTCATTCATTTCAGTGATCTCTGGGAGTCTGAGCTTGAATGAAGGTGGGAGAAAATTCCTACAGGGAATTGAGAGTGGTTTGTCCCTTAAGAAGGATGTAATGGCATTTTTAATGCTTTCACCAAATACCAGGACATGTGATAAAAGTTTATGGATTGAGAATTAATTGAAAGATTGTGAAATGGGAAAGAATGCACATTATGGGAAGCCTTGGAGAGCTACAACCTAAGCTCCTAGAATATCACTGGAGTTGATGGAAACATCTCTGATGACTGGGGTTTTTTTTTAATATAATTTGCCAGCCCCTGTAGCCCTACCCAGACAGACTGGGGAAATACATTCCTTTTATTAATATTAGTCCAGGGGACTCAAGTACATTTCAGGCAGTGAATGATATAGTTGATGGAATTTGCTACAGAATTCAAATAAAAAAAAAAGACAGTGGAAATTTGTACCTGTGGGTTGGTATATGTTTTAAAAAATGTTTTTCTACAGATAATGGGCTTATATCTAAACTTTGTTATTTGCAATATAAAGGTTTACAGTTTTATATGTATTAAATAATACATCTCTATGATAAAACATGAAATATTTAATTAAAACAATGACTAAAAGTATGTAACTATGTAAATATTACCTAAATCCTGTGTGTAAATGTTACATAAACTGTTTAATTTCTAGGGGTCACTGAAAACACTTTAAAATTTTATACAGTTTTCTACACTTCCCCCTCCCCTAGTTTTTAATATAATTGCAGGTTTAAAGTTAATCTGTCTATTAGTTTTTTGATATTTGCCGTTGTGTTAAATTTTACTGAGGAACAATTTAGTTTGGGGAAACCATTGAATCTGTGGTTCATGTTGTTTGAACAAGAAGTCCCTGAGTATTTGTCCCAAATACCAGCATTTTTACTACACTGGCAGCTGTATGTTTGTGGTCACCCGATGGCAACATATGCAAAGACTGTATACAGTGGCAGTGCCTCTTCCAGAGAATACCAGGAGGGAAACTGGATGTGGCCGATGCACACATAATTTGCTCTTCTAGGTGGAGGTATCATGTAGACAGCACTTAAATGACACTTTT